ACAAGATCAAAGCATGATGGGAGCACTGATTTCAAGCTTAAATTGTTGATTATTGAAGCTGTTTGTCAGTGAAATGTTTTTGCAGGGAGATTTTTATCATGTCTCCAAAAAACGGGCTCCATATATGCTTTCTAAACTGCTTAAATTTTGCTCCCATTATGCGTAATCACGTAATGTAATATATTTCTAGAGAGAGGACGAGATTGGAAACAAGCTGTACTGTAGCTTTATGTGTAAATCCTCGTTAAATAAAGTGTTATTATTATTATTTATATGCTCCTAGTTATTAGTGCGCTTACGAGAGGCAGTCACCCCCCTGAAAGTATAGAAAATGCCGTTCAGGGCGGGGAATGACACTTACAAGCGCACTTACTAGAAACATGGCGAGTGCATTTTGATGACGAATCACGGTGTGGCGGTTACGTTTTTTTTTGCTTTCTGTATATGGTCTGTATTCTGTGAAACCGCGTTCTACACACGTAAAAATCTCAGTATCTCACATCTTGTAACAAGTCTGCCAGCAAGCCGTCAACAAGATGTATTCGCACTGCTTGTCACAAGTTGTCAACAGGTTTGGAACAACTTGTTGACAACTTGTAACAACCTTGTCGAAATTATCCGAGAGTTGTTGCAAGGTTGTTCTGACAAGTTCGTTACATGCTTGATATAACAAGATTGTTACAACCTTGTGTTGACAACCTTGTAACATCCTTGTTATATCATGGCTGTAACAAACTTGTTAGCACAGTCTTGTAACAAGGCTGATAATGCCATCAAGCTTGTTACAAGTTGTTAACAGCTTGTTTTAAACTTGTTACAACAAACTGGGAACAAGCAGTGCGAACAAAACTTGTTAACAGCTTGTGAACAGACTTGTAACATCTTGTTTGCAGACTTGTTACAACTTGTGCGTTTTTATGTGTGTATGTTACAAGCACGAACTGCTGACGCCACATAGTCAATATTTTTTCCTTAATTAAATTTATGCAATATTTAGCTTAATTTGTAGCCTGAGGCTAAGAATGCTTTCATGATCATGGTTGAAAAATTGTTTCAACAGGTTTTCTGAAATGATTGGGGGGGGGGGGCGGTTGCCTTCCCCTGCATGACCTACCCTGGTGTCCGCCAATTATGTTTATTTCCGAAGTGTCCAAATTCGTTGAGAACTTCGACAGTTATAATGAGATGAGATGGCACTAAGAAATGTCGGCGTCATGCAACTGTATGCGTTTATACAAATTCCAGGTTACGGGCGAATTAAGAAAACTATATGCTCGGTGTGCTGTTTTTAACTAAATTCTGGCATTATGCATGGCACCCCCTACATATCAAGTTGCGTGACCACGAAAGCAAGCGCTTGCCATATAATAAATTATTATGATACCTATTATTCAAATTATTTTCCTTTTTTATTGTAGCTTTGTTTTGTACTTGGTCGCAGCTTTTCAAAAATGTAATGTAAGTTATTATGAGCGTAAAGTCCATTTTATTGTACCTGCGCATGCAGATAATGTATAGGATTCGAGTAACGATGATGTTAGTATGTTTGTTAGTGGTGACAAAACTTCGGTTGATAAAGATACAACTACCTTAAAATACAAGGAGAAATTTGACGTTTCGAGCGAACGCCCTTCATCGGGCCGAGTTAGTGGTGACTATATGATAACCAATTAACGACAGCAATTTATCCCCAGGGTGCGATAATTGGCTCACTTACATACCCGAGGTATGTCAATATTATGGTCTGGTAGATCTTTAATTTTGGCGTGTATTACGTGCGTAGGAACGCGGAACGTATTCAACACTGTAATCTTGCTGGTTGACATACTGACATGTCTTGGCATCAAACATAATTGAACGGGTGGCACTAAGAAACGTTGGAGTCGATTGTTTTCGATACACTTTTCAGAAACCTCTAATTTATCACTTTATGCACATAAAGACTAAGTACACATTGAGTGTTGAGTTTTTACTGGCACAAGTACACGACAATAATAATTGGCGCACCAGTCATGTACGACTTGAGGCCCACTTAAATTTCCACGGACAGAAAATTTTCCGAAAATGTCATTGTTATAAAAGTTGAAAATTTTCAACTTCAAATTTTTTTTTCGACGGAAAATTTGTGTCGGCCAATCACATCTTACAAAATGTTCCTTCTGCGGAAAATTTTCCAGTGAAGGTTGATTGACGACCGCTGACAAACATTTTGAACGTGATTATGGACTCGTTACTAGTTATACGCCCAAGTGCAAACCAGGCTTTAGTTCTTGACTCCATGTGTATTTCAATCGTTAGGGCTATGGATATGCTATTACTCTAGCATCTGAGATACCAGTGATGTTATGTCATCTGTTTATTCTGGGGAAGTTTACACACGTACTTTATAAGGAAATCAAAGAGTATGGAACATGCGGAGTACAATTCTTCTTTCGTAAGGTAAGTTCTGGGTTTCCATGACCGCAAATCCTCACTATAATTCATTCATAGACCTTTTTCACATTAGGCGTAAAAAAAAATACCTGCAGTGGTTCCGGTTTCATATCGCGAAAAAATTAGGGTCGGTAGGTCGGAAATCAGAATATTTTTTTTTAATATTTTTTTCATGGTTTTTTCAACAATTAGTGTAACAACAGACGCCATTTTGGCAGCAGCCCGCAACCACTCGGAGAAAATATGGGCACGGTCAATCGCGTTGAAAAAATAATAGGTCGGCAGAAAAAAATAGGGTCGGTCGGAAACGGGAACCACAGGTATTTTTTTTACGCCTTATGAGTAAATTTCAATTATTTTGATGCATTTTTTTTCTGTGTTGGTGTTGTGTACTCAGGTGAATAATATGTTTATGATGTTACTCTGAGTCCCGGTGTGGATATGCACTCAGAGTAACATCATAAACATATTTTGATGCATGTTAGCACGCTATAAGTACCAGAAACGAAGGTAGCAGGTCCGAATATAACGAAGTACACAAAATTTGAGGACTGTCAAGCACTAGCGTCGTCTCTAAAAATACAAATAATTTAATAGAGAATGCATGGAATTTTGCATGAAACGCGCATGTGTTGAGAACTGCCTCCTGTATTCCCAACACAGCTCACAAAACATTTTAAACTATCTAATCATACTTATTTGTTTGTAAAAGCACATACAAAATCCAGGGCCTTTTTAACATACAAGCTGGGGGAGGGGGCAAATACCCCCCCCCCCCAGTCGACTCCCCCCTTGTGCCTCCCCCGAAATCACATTTTGCCCCCACCCCCAGGAAAAGTCCCTTTTTCCCAAATTTATACAAACAAACCAGCGAAGAATAACAAATAGATAAACGGAAAGTAAGTTTTAGGCTTTATCCTTTGTCCTTGTTTAACAAAATCGATTTAAATTGTTACGTTTTTTTACCACTAAGTAATGATAAATTATTGTTAACAAGACGCTCTACGGAGCGTTAACTCGCTGGGGCTATACAACTACGCACATTACTGTACAATGTACATGATACATACAGTACACAGCTTTTTCAATTGAGATTTAAGGTTTTCCCCGAGCTAAGCCGACAAGTCGAATACGAGCGCGAAAGGCATAACACAATAAACACAGTACTAAAATGCGGTAGGCCCTACAAGTAAAGTTATATTTAGTACGCTACATTCTTCAAAACTGTCAGCCGCCAGTTGGTCTAGGATTAAACTGCGCTTTAAAACGTTCAAAATAAAATATTCCGGGGCTTTTGGGCTCAAAATACTATCAAAATGAAGCGAGAAGTGAGACGAATCCACTGGTATACGGTCGAAAAAGAGAAAACCAATGATACCAAAGTTATCAAGGGTCAAATGTACTGCATTATTTTATAATTCAACAATACAATTTCGCTTGGCTTTCAAAGACAAAGGCCATAAATCGCTAGAACTGTTGTTTAGTAATACATTTGACATTCGTAATTAGTACAATTTCTAACGCTGAATCGAACGGTGGTATTTTTATCCTTATTGGGCCATTACTCCATTAGGCATTACAAATACACTATGAAACGTACTGCGAGCGATTTGTAAACAAATACAATTTCGCTTGATTTTCAATTCAAAGGCCATAAAACGCTAGAATACTGGTGCTTAGTAACACATTTGACACCCGTAAGTACAATTTCTTACGCTGAATCGAACGGTGGTATTTTATCCTTATTGCGCCATTATAGGCATTACAAATACAAGGACAAACCTGTGGACAAACGTAGTGCGAGTGATTTGTGATCAACAATACGTTCTGCGAGCGATTTTTCAACAATACAATTTCGCTTCATTTTCAAAGGCCATAAATCGCTAGAATACGGGTGTTTAGTAATACACTTGACATCCATAAATACAATTTCTTACGCTGAATCGAACGGTGTCGCTTTTTCTTCTCAAAATATAAAGCAGCGCAGTCAAATGTACAAACTTTTATCAAACTTGCAATTTGCGAATGTTGCTGTTTCCATGCGAAATTCCTTGTAAAATTGTTCAATTTTCCCGAATTTTCCTCAAAATGGAGGGCTATTTATGGATAATTTGGGCAAAATTGGCAGGAGCCTTATGGATAATTGGGGGAAAATTAGGCAGCAAAGTAATATTCTATTTTGTGGCTATCGATCTTCGATCCACTATCGGAGAAAAATGCGAGCCGAAACCTATACTCGCCCGGGGCACAGGTGCCCCAGCGAGTAATTAAACGAACTTTATTCAGATAAGCGAATTAGTAGCTGATAATGATTGGAACATATTTACAGCGAGTGAAACTTGACTGAAATCAACGCTGAGTAATGCGGACGTCAACGAGGGGCATTTCACTCCAAAAATCCCGTACACTTCGTCAAAAAATCCGGAAAAAATCCGAACAAATCCGGAAAATCCAACAGATTTTCTCTTCACAAATCCGCTAAAAATCCGGGAAAAATCCGCTAAATCCGCTAAAAAATCCGCGGATTTTTAAAAATCCGAAAATCCCGTAAGCTTCGTCAAAAAATCCGGAACAAATCCGGAAAATCCAAACAAATCCGGAAAATCCAACTGATTTTCTCTTAAAAAATCCGCTAAAAAATCCGGGAAAAATCCGCGGATTTTTAAAAATCCGAAAATCCCGTACGCTTTTTTGGAGTGAAATGCCCCTCGGACGTCAACATATCAGGTCACAAACTATTTCGTTTGGAACAATTTAACAATGCTTTCCTTGCGGTATTGGGCCTGCATGCACCAGTTAAATTGATGTCATTTTAAACACCATACAAATTCCTTCATATTTCCTGAAATAAGAGGTAAAATAAAAGTGAGAGACTGTCTTTTACGAAAAGCAAGGACATCGCAGTGTCATACTGACTGGGATCTTTACAAAGCGACACAGACCGAAATTGAAAGAACCGAAGCAGAAAAATTGTTAGCCGATAATCAAGTTATGCACAATAAGCACAATAGTCATGCATTTGTAAAACTATTCGGCGGTACCAGGAGGAATTAATAGAATCGGCAAATCCAAAAAAATTACCAATGAGCTCAATTCATATTTTGCTTTGGTAGGAAATTCTACGGCGGACTCTGTTAAGAAATTAGGACAAGAGCAGCACATATCTGTCATAGAGCATCAACCTATAAAACTCTACGTGGAACCAGAGCAGTTCTCCCACAGCCAAATACCTAGAGAGGAACCTGTAGTAATGGTAATGAATATGGCTTTAAATTTAAAATCTCCCGGTATGGATAAGGTGGCTAAAAAAGGTTATAGAGATTGCCTATCCACTGTTTCTATGCAAGCCTTTAACCGATATAATTAATTTATCGTTCACCTCCAGTATACTTCTCACCACTTGGAAGATCGCTAATTAAAAGTATTGCCTCATGTAAAGGACGGAGATTGTGAAGTTGCAAGTAGTAATCGACCAATCTCTTTGTTAGTGACCAATAATCTAAAATTTGTGAAAGAATAGTCTTTGACCATCTTTCAAATTGTTTTGAAGAACACAATCGACTTACAAGTTATCAAAGTGGCAACAAACGCAAACACTCGACTGAATCAGTTAATTTGTTGGTAACTGACCATATTCTCAAGAGTAAAGAATTCGATAGTATCGACCACGGTCGTCTCCTTCACAAGTTTCTGGACTGTGGAATCTCGTCAAATGCACTAGAAGGGTTGCGGAGGTATCTTACTGAACGAATACAAGCAGTTCGGATTGGCGCTGATCGAAATATCGCATTTACTTCCCATAACGATTTCATTTTATTCATCAATGATCTTCCTTGTATCCCGTTAAAGGAACTTGAAAGTTATGTAGATGACTCTAACAAACGTCTTCTAAAAGCTTACTCACACTCAATGAGTGGAGTTTCAATATGAGCTTCTCTCGAGTGCCAATGCAGTTGTTGAATAACTGGAGGGCGGGTAGTCACCGAACAAGTTATTACACTAGCCCTCCAGCTATTCAAAAACAGCATTAACACTCAAGAGAAGCTCAGAGTGAACCTCCACCCATTGAGTGTGAGTGAGCTTTTAGAATACGGGCGTAAACCTATCATTTTGCATTGGTAATGTAAAGATGTCATAGCGATAGTAAACAATGACTCTTTTCACAGTTGCTACTCATTAAAGGTAGGGTACAGTCCGAATGTAAACAAATCCTTTGTTTACATTTCGGTATTCAAAATATTGAACTCTATTTCGGAACTATTTATACTTTCACGCTTCTACGGTATAGTAAATTACCAACAATCCTGGCCAAAAGTCCTTGGGACAACCCAAAATTTTCGCATGTTTTTATTGTTCTCTTCAGGGAAAGCAGATTTAACGCAAAATATGCTTTTGAACCAAACCCCCCTCCCCTCCCCCGTTCAATGTTCATTTTGGGGGCATCCTTAACTGAAATTTTATGAACTTTCAACATTGAATTGGGAGGGGGAGGGGGGCGTTGCCTTTAGAATTCAAGGTAGAAAAGGGTGAGTGTCCCAACACTTTTGTCCAGGATTGTCTGTGTATAGGAAAACTTGTAAATTGAGAATATGTTTTTAAGATATATAACATATATCCGTAATTGGGCTTTTCACGAGACTTGTTGATGTCACAAATTGTTGGTCGTTATTCGTGTCTAAAATCCGCTGACGCGCCCCATTGCAGGCGCACTAACATCGTAATGAATGATTGGTATGGCAATTAAGTGATTTGTTGTAAACGAGCGGGAAAATTTTAGATGCTTGTCTTTGAACAAGGCTTACAAAGCTTTTAATCATAAAGAACAAAATTTATTGTAAATTTCTAATGGTTTACAACGGTGAAATATCAGCTGAACAAAAGGCGCTCGCAATCTATTTTAAAGCTGGAATCTGGAACATCATACAGAGAGATAGCGTGAAAATGTTATATTTCAAAATCGGCTGCGGTAGAATATGCAAGTCCGGTTGCAAGTCAAAAGCGGAAGTGAAAACCTGCACAGGGTTTGGCGAAATAGAAGCAAAAGATTGAAAATTGCCAGTAAAGGTTCTAAAGAGCTCCCTGGTCTGCCTCGTACCCAGAATCGATCAAATTAATCCACTAGGCGCACGCAAAGGCCGCGCAAACCATAGAACAACACATAGTGCCTGGGTTGACGTGAAAGCTTTTGAAGATTTCGAAGCAGAAATGCATGTGATATCTCCACGTTCACCAGATCTAAACCCCATGAATAAAGAATATGTTCCATATTGTGAAGAATGACTTAGAGCGCCAACCTATTTGCGAGAATATCACGGCTGAATCATTGAGCTAATTCGGAAAGAAATAATTTTAAGCGTTAGATCATACCTCCGTCGACATTATAGATCGCTACTTCCGTCGATGTTATAGATCGCACAATAAATAGTATGTCTGGGAGCATTATGCTGTAATTAAATCCAAGGTATTCCGAATAAAGTATTGATAGCTTATGCTTAATTTTATTGCTTAATATCACGTAATCTATTAACTCGATTGAGACCGGAAATTCAAAATGAAATGTAAACATGTACAGTTCTCGTCGACAGGAGCAACACTTCTCAGCATCATTTCCAATGATAAAATATAGTATTATTCATTTGTCACACCAAATTTCGGTGACATTTCTTTTTGTATACAATTTACTTTCGAAGCTAAGCTGAATATTGTACAATAAAGT